AAATGTTTTGGATTCCTCAGCTTTCTTCTTAATTAGTGATCAATATTGAGATTTCTAGTAAATGATGTAATAAACATAAAGAATAGAATTATTTAACCACGTAAATTAGTTTTAATAATTCTGTTGAAATGTATTGTTAAGATCTAAAATTGAATCCTCTCCCTTTTTGCAGGCCACTGTTGAAAATGGTAACAATAGCTCTGTTTATTTAACCTTGCCAATTCTTCTCTTTCTTTGAATCATCAAGAAGCAAGTTCCATTAAAGACCGTCAAAGAATCCCAAAGGAACACTAAGGAGAATGCAATTCAGAAGAAAGCTTCAAAGGAAAACTCGACAATTCCTGATTCTTCTACTCAGAGTTCACAAGGAAAGAAAGTTACCTTTTCACCATCTTCAAGTACAGAACTTGAATCAGAGAAGTCTTCTCCTTCTCTGACAATCTCTTCTAATGTTCCAGATGATCCAAATAGTTGCACAACAAATTCTTTGGTTCTTGGAAAAGTTTGGATTCTAAGAACAAGACTAATATAGATGAGCCGCTTTTCTGACCATATGAGCAGAGATTTGATTGGACACCAGAGGAAATCTTGAAGCATTTCACCATGTCGCCTGGAAGAAAGAAGTTACTGAATGCCAAAATTTACCATCAAGGTTGAGAAAAGCAAGCAAAACATGTTCAAAGGCTGTACCATCTGAAAAAAGAAGCTATTGTAGCAGAAAGAGCTAAAGTTGAAATAACAGCTAGAAAGCTCATAAACCGCAGAAGCAAGACAATGTTGGAAGACGATTTTTGCGTATATTAATGATTTCTCTATCAAAAACGAAGTGAGGCTTGCCGAGTTCAAGGGTCCAGAAGGTATAGATTCAGAATTCAACTATGAACACATTCTTGTTCGACGATTCTCTTTGAAACTAGAGATTATATACTTGCCAAAACAAAATACATGTCTTGGCAACAAAGTTACTAATAATAGAGAAGAGAAATCCCAAAAATCGATCACAATGGTAATAAAAACCCTAACTTTGATAATTACACTTGCAAGATGTTAATAGATCAAAACCAAAAGAGTACCAAAAGTAGATCAATCAATTTATAGTCTGAACAAACACGAAAGAGCTCTTTGGAACAAGAGCAAAGCAGAGGACTTGACGCCACCTGAAAGACCAAACACTGACGTAGTCGTTCTCTTTCAATCCATTTGCCTTAACGACATCATTCCAACCACATGTCAAAGAGTAGTTCCAGCTTCCTCTTCCTGTATCTTTCTTCATCTCCCATCTCTTGAACATCACACCGTACTTTTTACACATTTGATCAACCAGAATCGCTCCGACTCCGGTCTTGTTATCGTTGTTGATGTCTTCTTCTATGATTCTCGACTCAACAGGCGTCAAGAAATCGCTATGGATTAGATGGTTGAATGGCATTGAGAGACGGCTTTCTCCAGGGTTCACATCAGTTTGGTATAGATCCCTCTCAAAGATCAGTTTCAGGTCGGTTCCGTTCATGTTCTCCATCAACTGGACCAGCCACTTTGGTGTCTCTTTCCCTTTCCATGTAAAAGAAAGATCAACTTTTGCTTTCTTGGATGATTTACCAGTACTATCCTTTCTCTGTTTCACGGCACGTCGTCTCTTTCGGCTTCTTGTGTTCTCTGTTAGGCACGAAGAAGGAGACGACTGTGAATTAGGGTTTGGCGGGCTCTTTGTCATCTCGGAGTCAGCCTTGTTGTAATCAACGAGTAAGGTTGAAGAAGAATTAGGGTTTTTTAGGGTTTTGGTCATGGAATCAGCTGCGATCTTGTGCTCTCCAAGAGCCAACGATGATGATGAAGAAGAAGAAGGCAATTGAAGAAGCTTTTGTGGGTTAGAATCAACGAGGATCGAGTTAAGGTAAAGGAGTGTTGAAGAAGTAAAAGCCACATTAGGGTTTCTTCTTCTAGTAACAAGCTTGTTTCTTGGTTTTCTTGGGAAGAGAAGGAAGATTCTCTTGTCGTTCTCTTCTTCTTCTTCAGAGAAAGTCTTCTTTGTGTTGCATTTGGAGTATTCTTCTTCGTATAGCTTAACCGCTACATCTGCCAAAGTACATAAACTAGAGCAGATTTCAGCGAGATCATCATAATACATAGCCATGGTTATCGAACAGAGAGACAGACAGAGATGAAAAACTTGAGGAAGACGGAAGGAAGGAAGTTAGAGAGAGAAACTAAGAGAAGTGATTGAAGGTGCAAGTGAGAAAGAGAGTGCCTTTCTTGCATTATATGCTTTTTTTGGATTTTTTCCTTTTTTTTCCTTTGAGATTAGTGAGTTTAATCACTGTGATTAGAGTAACTAATTATGCTTGTTATGAAATTTCCTTTTCCTTGATAAAGATATTAACATGTTTTTACTTGGGTCAAAAGCTATCGTTAAAATTACAATTTAGTAAAATATTTCCATTTCTCCCAAAAGTGAATTAGTAAAATATTTAGGAAGCTTCTCCGTACTTTTTTTCCAGGGTTGTTTTGTTAAGGGAAAAATTGTCATTAATACAACAAAAAAATTATAATTTACAAACTAACCAAAAGACCTAAATCCAAAGGCCTAAATTGTGCCACATAACCCCTTTTTCCTAATTTTTTAATTTTTTTTGGGTTATTTATTAAAAAGACCCTTTTGTTAATTATAAACATCTTTTTCATCTAAAAGTAAAATAAAAACTATATAGATATGGGGGAATTTCAAAATTCCCCGTCTATTATCATCTTAAGATTTCTAAAGCTTATTTTTGCTGTATTGTAGAATTAAAATGCAGTTATTAACACATCATA